AGCTTTCCAAGCTGCTGTCATGTGCAACTTTTCATAATTTACATGAGTTTATTTTCTTAACTGTTATATATAATAAATACATCTTGCTCAAACTTAAAAATCTAAAAATGTTTGTACTTAAGATAATATGAAAAGAACAGCTGTGTTGTCTGTGTCATTATTATTATCTGATCCTTTCTGAAGTTCTTCCTATGTACAGAAGTACATTGTGCTCATACCACACTAGTCTATGTTATATTTATATTTTATATTTATTGGACTCTCCGTAAGAAATTAGACAATTATGTCGTGAAAGTCATTACCTACAACTTGTAGCTATGGTTTATCCACAATAAGTAGTTAATAATTATTTCTAAACTTTCTGAAGTTTTTGGACTTGTTTGGCAGAAGAGAACATCATGGTATCTGTTTGTTTCCTAATAATGCATGCAAAAAATTAGGTTACATTTTAACGACCGTAAGTTTTTAATGTCACCTAGCCCAGATGAAGCTGGGCTAGAATAATTCACCTATACTTTTCTTATTCTCGCATGGAAGCAAATTATAGGTTGGAGATGCATGTACCTCAAATACTTTTCCATTCTAAGTCATCTCCCATTGCTTCCAATTTCTAAGTACGGTGGCACATACCAAGGCATTGCATTTCCTATTTCTAAATGTTGTAGAACATAGTCCTGTTAACTGCTTCCTATTTCTCAGCTTTATGCTATCATTTAGCTTTTAACTTCCTAATGTGATTTATGTGAAAATTCTACCTATCCTCTAAGGCAATTGTACGCAAGGAGTAACTAAAATCTGAAGAGTCCTACAGAGAATTTTCTAGCATCTGCAGGCCTCTGAATCTGCAGAATGATAGGTTCAGCCTTGCAATAGGTGTGCTGTTTTTTTCTGTAGTGGAAAGGTCAGATAAGGTGGTTATCATTGCCCCACTTTTGAGGCGTCATTAGAGTGTCAATTGGGGAGCAGATTGCAAATAAATTGGCAGTAAAAGCAAAGTTGGCTTGGCAATGGCAGTGACTACAGCAGCAGTGGTGTGGCAGTGGCAACAGTGGCAGTGGCAATGCATTGGAACACAACAGCAATAGAAATTTTGAACAGAAGCAATGAATTATGGCTGAGTTTGAAAAGTAGGGGTGGACTTGAGATCATCCAGGAAGGAAAGATCTTCCTCTATGTAAGCAGGCAGGTAGTCACCATGGGAGTCTTGAGGGGTTTGGTAGGTGATGAGACCAGGTGGTAAGACTTCTAAGTCAGCGTCTGTGTCCCTGGAAAGTAGGGGGTGGGCATAAGCACTGGGAATGCAGATAACTGGGAATTAGAGTGACCCAGGGGATCATAGGTAGTGTGTGTGATAATTGATACAGTAGAATCATAATTGGTTGAGGGGGGGCCTAGTAATGCCAATGCCTTGTGTGCAAGACCTCATTTACATCTTCAGGGAGGAAGAGTTTTAATATTCTATATCTGAGCTTGGGCAGCCCCTCAACTAAAAGACAATGGAGTGAGCATAACTTGTCCCATAGTGAGACTGAACATAGCCTTGGAACTAGTGAGGGAGGTTCCAAGTAGTACTGATTCCATCTCCATAACAAGTTGGAAGTGTTGGAGACTAATAGATGATGTGGGAAAGGGCAATAAAGTGTATGACGTGAGATTTGTAATATGCTACATATCACATGGATTCAGCAGTTTTAAGGTGCATGTAGGTGTGTTTTGGTTGAGGGAGGAGTTTGATAGGCACTGATACCCATCTTGAGTGAGCAAAAAACCTGGAATATGGGGTGTAGGGAATGTACCTGCTGCTTCTAAATGGCATCAACCTGAGAGAGAGAGAGAGAGAGATACTGGGGAATAACAGGTAAGCTATTTCAGAAGGAAATGTGGTCTGCAATATGGTGGTGATTTTCTTGTCTAAATAAGTGAAGGTGGTGATAAAAACGGTATTGGAAATCTGCCCAGCTGGATATTAGGTCATGTATCAGCCAGGAGAAGGTGCTGTCATTAACACATCATATGACGCTTTTTGTGTGACTGGGGTTACTATTTCCAAAGCAGCAGAGTGTGAGTGCCTATGTGTTAGGTATCAGGATTTCTCCCTGGACTTTTGGACCTAGTTACTGAGTTGGTTGTAGAGACCCTTGTCTGCTGGTGCCAGAGGATTCAACCTCCATCAACTCTGGGTCTTATTGTATCCAGGAGTTCATACTCTCCATGGCAATCATGGGTTTGTCTCAGGTAATACATCAGTATACAGGATTCACTACCATCAATAACTGATGATATTCAATTTCAACTTTCTAAAATGCATTATTAAGTACTGAAGTACAAGGAATATTTTTTTTAAAAAAGAAAATATTAGAATGCAAAGAAAATAGAAAGAAGAAAATAAAGCAAGATGTTACAAAAAAAGATTTTTACATTTAATTTAAAAAACAAACACCAAGGGCCATTTGTATTCCCAATAAAGGGGCATAGTTGAAATATTTGAACTTTACCTGGAACATTAGTAATTGTTAATTAGTTTCTGCTTATGTCCTAAAAAGCATGTTCCATATATCTAAAACGGCTTTGCTCTGTGATATAATGTACAGAAGGGAGTCATTCTTGTTTGTACTTAATTAAACTTCTGTTATGAATGCTTTGCCAATATATTACTCAGCTTTATGTCACTTTTCTGATGAAATTATAGAAATCTTGCCTGCAGACGGTGAGGATTTGTATGAGAAAGAACAGACAAAAATGGAATCGTCAGAGGACAAAGAAGCTGTATTCCTGAAGGGATCTTCCTTTACTTGTGGCATTGGTTGGAAAAGTAGTGAAGGTCATGGCTAAGGTTTTTTTTTAACCACCTTGTAACCACCCAACTGGACTGTTGCAACATGCTCAACATGGGACTGCCTTTAAAGACCATATGGAAGCTGCAGTTGGTTCTAAATACAGTGACCTCTTGATACTGTAAGGTTAACGTTCACTAGTGGGAGTATCTTACACCTATGCTATGGGCCCTACTCTGGACACCACTATCTTAGATCCAATTTAAAGTGCTGGTCTTGACCTATAAAACTATTCATTGCTTGACACCAAGTTACTTGCCGAATATCATTCCCATTAAAATTAGCTGAACAAATTTGAATTTGCTGAGACGTTGCTAATAGTTTCCACCTTAGGCAGATATTGGTGGAGGAAGATTAGGAGATGCCGCTTCACATTTCTAGCACCAGATCTCTGGAATGTCTATATTTTACTTTAACTTAAAATGGAGGTTTTTTTTTCAGAGGGATTTTGGAGCATGGTGATATTTTAGTTGAGATATATAGATGGTTGGCTGCTGGAATTGCCTATATTTCAGATATGTGTATTCTTTGATTTTAACCTAAATGCAAATATATAATTGTTACTGTATATTTGTAAATCCCTTAGAATTATATGGAACTGTGATATGATATTTAAAAAAATAATTAATTAGGACAAACTGTGTTGCTTCTTTTGCTTAGTAGGCAACCAGTATCATCATGAAATAAAGCCCTTAATTAATATAATCTTGATTATTTTGTGATTGTTAAGACCAATGCTTACTTCAGTCTAATATCATTCAAATATGCAGACCTCCAACTTTGCACAGCAGTAGAGTTATTTATACTCTCTGAAACTATCGTGTAATGTTTCTTAAAAGTAGATTGCATCTGTTCATGTAGTAGCACAGGAATAACAACTCTAGAGATAAACATGGATAGATTTAGTCTCTTCTAAAAAAGAACATTGCACAAACAGCCCTTAAAATTACTTTATTCCCTTATCTTTTCATGCAGTCCCAATAACCAGAATAGATGGAATCCGCTTCATTGAATGTAGTCATTTAAATATATTTAATATGTGTTCTATATCTTCTGTCTCAAAACAGTAACTCTCCTACTACATATGAAATATGGAAATATTTTCATTTTCTTCTATAAAAATATTATTCCATATAATGAAAAAATGTTATTGTCTTTTGCAAAATATTCCATCTGTTTAAAAGTTTGAATTTTATCTCTTATTGTTTGACAGATAGTTAATAGTACATTTGGTTAGAATCATTTCACTATTGTTTATTTGCACATCACAGAATTATGTGGAACATTCTTTTCCACTGACTTGTATAAAGCTTTCTTTAATGAACAACTTCCCATTTTGATTTTTCCTTTAATATAATTTGATTTCTCTATATATGCTTAAACTTTTAATCTTGACAATAAAGCATTGTTGGACATAATTACTTGTAATGCGTTAATAACAAAATGATACTTGCAATATACAGATAGTTTTTCTCTTGACTATTAAAACAATTATAACCCTTTATTAAGTTGTACTAGAACAATAGGTCTTTCTCTCTCTCTCTCTCTCTCTCTCTCCCTTCCTCTTTCCCTCCCTCCCTCCGTGTGTGTGTGTGTGTGTGTGTGTGTGTGTAGATGGAACATGTGCTCATTGTCTTTTTTTATTATCTAGCATATCATTATTTAAGGCAGTGGGGTACAATCTACTATAAAATTAACCATGAGTTCCATTTTTGCAACCATTAATATTTCCCAGATCGGGCTGTCAAAACCTATGACATACTATCATATAACATGAACATGATTTTCTACTATGTTCTGATTTAACATAAAACACAATACAGGCAGTCCTCATGTAGCAGCCACTATTAGTCATTAAGTGAAGAAGTTGCTAAATGAAAATTGCATTACTGTGCTTACGATTTTATTTCAGGTTTACTTTGCTTTAAAGAGTCAGAAGGATATGACCTTAAAGAGTTTGGTGAACCCAAACAGTTGGGAAGTTTGAATGAATGTAGAGATTCCTGATTTTTATAGTTATTTTCCACCTGAAACTCACTTTTTCACATGCAGAGAACAAAATTAACAGTGTGGCTAATTGAATATAAATATTCAAAAACCTGCTCATCAGGTCAACAGTGTAAGATTATTTCTTCATTATTCTCCCCATCGTTATTTTTGTTTCAGGAAATCTCTCCCTCGCTGCCAACGAATTAGCAGAATGCTCTCCAATGAATCCTTGCGCCCTCCCGTGTATAGCCGTTCCAATTCCCAAGCTTCTGTTGATAGCACTTCCATGGAGGATTTCTGGTGTGAGGTAGAAAACATCAAGGAGAACACAGAAGAAAGGCAAGATGAGCAAACCTTGTTAGAAATCAAGCCTCCTGACGGTATGAATAAACAATTCCAATGTTCTTTGATCTTTTTTAAAATTATTCCAAAAAGGTGCTGGTGTAATAAATGTTCATTTATGTTTGAGAACTGAATCAGAACCACTGCATAGCTATTTTGGATAATAATATTTCCAAGGTTTTAAATTCTACTGATTTTAGAATGAAGTTTCACATGAAAAACACTGAAGTGAGGGGAAGACGAATTCAGGGGCAACATTTAAAAGATAAAAATAAGTATCACTGCAGGATGAATTCTATGATTAAGTGACTAATAGTTACCTATAAAAGCCTTCAACAGAAATTATACAAAGTGAATCAAATTAAACAAAGAGAAATTATACAAAGAGAATTGAATTCAGAAGTTCATGGGATGATTCATTGAACTGAACAGTTACCAGCCACAATTCTTTAAAATGGTGTTTGTCTCCTTCTGGATATATAGAGAGTCTGAGTAAACAAATACCCCCAAAAGTTTGTTCCTTTTTTCATTTTATTGCATTAAAAATCATTCGACACACAGTGTGTCACTGTGAAACATTTGTCCCTTGTTCAGTCAATTCATTTAAGGAGTAACTGAATTGAATATGTGAGTACATCATAGAATAATCAGAACTAACATGAGACAACCCAATGTTATATAAATCTTACAAATTTTTAGAAATCAAAGTAAAGTTTTCACTAGGCAATTTCCATAAGCACATTACATCCCACTCAAAACTTTTTAAAGATATCTGTAAAAAAAGCATTGGCGCTTATTGAATCTGATCCACAGACCAATATAGTGTTTTCAAAGACTTCTTACAAGTGGTTGTCCTGTTAACAACATATCAGCATAGAATTGACCTGGAGGGCCTTCAAAGAACTTCCAAAAATATCTAGAGATGTCCAAACCCCACATGCCTTGACTACAGAGTCTTTGTGACTCACAATCAGAAAAGTAAAGTGTGATTTATGGGAGAGGAAGCCATTGCTCACTAACAGCATTGATGTTCATCTGAAGTTTGTTAGAAGGAATATTCTATGGACAAAATGGTTAAAAAAAATGCAACATTTTGAACTACATTATTATTGTCTTATCTGGTGCAAACCAAACACTGAATTCTATAATTAAGACCATGTACCACCTGTCAGGTATGAAGGTAGCAGTAAAATATGTAAAAGATGCGTTGCTATTTCAAGACCTAGATGACTTGCCATAATTGAGGAACCCTGAATTTTGCTTTACAGCAGAAAAATCTGTAGTATTCTGAAAATTCTGTCTGCTGAAGCTGAAATGTAAGTAATGAAATACAGCCATGATCTCAGAGATACAAACAGGTTTACATGAAAATGGATGAAGAACAGAATTCAATATGCTGACATCAAAATCCAGACCTAAACTCCATAGAACTGTTATAATGGGACATGAAACAATCAGTTGTGTGAGGAACCCTCAGATGTTACTGAGCTGAAACAGCATGCTATGGAGGAATGGACCAACTTTCCAACACACGAGAAACTGATCATTGGTTACAGGAAATGCGATGGCTGCAGTTATTGCCAGGAAAGTTGGTGCAACTAGTTACTGAAATAAAAAGAATAATTACTTTTTCACACTAGTTTATTGTATGTTAGATTGCTTTATGCTGTATTAATATGAAACTGTGATAATATTAATTGGCAAGTTTCGTTTGGCAAAGGTTTGCAAACATTCAGAAAATCTAAAAGGGGCAAAAAATAGGTGTATTTGTAGATATTTTATGGGAGATGGTGATTCAAAAGCTGCTTAGCTTTGTGCAAGATGGTTGAAATGTTAAGCATTGACCAATGATTTATGGCCCAATATATTTATTTATTTGTACAGTAAATGTATGTTTACATATTATTAGAAGCTATGGAAGACTTACAAAATGAAAATAATTTTTAATGGCATTTTAAAAACAAAGTATCTACATTTAAACAAAACATCATTAAACTACAAACCAAACAAGTATACACTCAGATATTTGACAGATTAAACAAAACTTAAAAGAAAGCATTAAATACCTGGGCAAACAGAAATTCATCAAACAGAGATTTAATTACAAGGTGAACCCAAAATCAGTTTCTCTGAAGTTTTTTCATTTAACCAGATGGAGATTCTGAAGAAGATTATCTAAATATTGTCTCAGGAATCAACCAAGTTCTTAACTACATTACTTCATTATCTGTCCTAGGAAATCCTCACCAATTTACCAGTAATACATAGCATGAACCATCTCTGAGAACCAACAAAATTTGAAAAAAACAGAAAAAATAATAAGAATGATTGTAGTAACTAGTACCGTAGCTATAACTGAAGGAAAATGTGTCATACATTTCACTAAAGATCTATTTAGAAGATTTGTTTGGCTTATTTAAAAAATGAAAAGTATTTATTTAGTAGTTAAAGATTACATTTTTTTTTGCTTGACATAACTATTTTGCTATGATGCAGTCAAATTTTCAAAAGACGACCGGAATTTTGGAGATTGGGGGAAAGGTATCTAAAATGGAATCAAAAGAAAGTAAAAGAGAAAAGGTTCAATGGGACAGTATTATTCAAAGTTATTTGCCTTTTCACAGCTTTAGCAAGAGATTGATATAAAATTTGTATATATGAAGGGCATTTCAGCAAGCACTGAAATGTCTTCTCTAGAGCCACACAAGGAAATGTGCCCTGTCATGCTTTAGGTTGCTATGTCTCAGCTGGAGTGGTGAAAACAGCAAATAAACAGAGATTAATTATTTTCCTGTATGCTAAAGGTTTATATCAGGGGTCTTCAAACTTGACCCTTTTATGACTTGTGGACTTCAATCTGGGAGGGCCAAGTTTGAAGACCCCTGGTTTATATCTTAAAATTTTTACTGGCAATTTGGTTACAACTGTTTAGGTCTCATTGATTTTAATAGGGGAAGTACTCTGAAGATGAACATGTTTTTAATTCTTCTACAAAGATCATTGTTTTTCCCCACAGTGTCTAAACAATTCTGCAAATTTCTTGACAAGTAGGATAGCGCTACACCCTTGAAGTCTTTACTCGGAATGGATTGCGCCAAGCCTTTATAAAACATACAGCTTCTTTATTTATTGCATTGTGGGTGGGTGGGGGAGAAAAGACCTACAGGTTAAATATTGCCTTGGAATCCTGGAAATGAATTATAGTCCCACTTGTGTCTACTAAGCATAAAGTTTCTTGAGCCTTGGGGGCTGAATTAATGAATTAGTTATACAGCTTTATATTAAAATTGATAAAATCATGAGGCAGCATTCTTCCAGAGCTAAGAAAAGGTAAAACCACATTTACATTGCTGCAGCAAATGGCAATTAAATTTTCTGCCCTTTTCCCCCCAATATTGGTGCAAAGTTTCTGAACATCAAAAAAAAATTGATGTTTTCTTACTTATCTTAGTATTTCTATTTTTATTCTTTTAAAGATACTTATTTGTTAGGATTTTAAGGCCTGAAGCCACCCAAAGTCATTCGCTACAAGACGGGCATTAAATAAATTCAATAAATAAATAAAATAAATGTCTATGCCATGTGCAAATCCTTGATTTCCCCCCCCTCTAGAATATATCATATATTCCCAACCCAGCCCTTGTCATTTTTTGTAGCAATAACTGCAGCATATCCTATTTGGGCTGCCTTGAAATCTACCTGGAAGCTGCAGTTGTGCCATCACAGCAATGCAGTAGCTCTCCACTGGTTAATAGTAGGCTTCCAAGAAAGCTGAGCTTTTCAAAAGGGGCTTTGAGGATTAGATCATTATCATTGGAATGCCTAGTAATTATGAAGATTATGAGTTTAATAATTTTAGTATTGATTTTAGGATTTAATAATGCATTAATTATGTATAGTAGTCTGATTATTGTCTCGTGGTTGCCATAACCTTTTTGGGATGGTTACAATATAAAAATATAGAAAATAATATAGAATATACAATATAGAAATATAGAAAATAGTGTATTGTATCACTCAATAACATAGAAAGATACATACTGAGTCAGGCCAAAGGCAAAATTAATCCAGCAGCCTGCCCCCCAAGGGCCTTTATTGGAAGCTTACAATGGCATCCTTCCATCAACATTTTCCAATCAAAGACAGTCGTGAACATACTTGGATGCTTTTGCCTGGTTTATACTGTATATTTAGCTCATCCAGGTATCTTAGTCCAGAGAGATATGGTGATGTTTTTTTTAAAATATACTTTGTTTCTTTCAGAATTCTAAGAGATGTCAACCAAATTAGTAATCTTTGCTTATTTATGTAAAATCTCTTAGAGATCTATTTAGTCTACCCTGTCATAAAAGCTACTTAATTTTCTTATGTACTTAATCAAACACTGTTGTTTGATATAAAAGATTATAAGTAAATAATGTTTTACCACTATTAGCATAAAGTACTGACACAAGCTTGAACATGTTAATTATCACATTAAAAATTGCAAAGCAAATGGCTAACATATTTGCTTATAAGAAGTATTGGGGTTTTTTTTGTGAAATAACTCACAGTTTTTTCTAACATAATTGTAAAAAATTATTGGTAAAATATAACATATAAAAAGTAATGCAACAAGGAATATGAACAATACAATTAAAAATAAACTAAAACTTAAGAGGGAGCATCCACAGCACATTAATATAAAATTAGTTCAATGCTTTGACAAATTATTAAAATACCATATGTAAACACAGTGCTCCAGCTTATCATTTTTTATAACATAAAAGATATTTTATTTTACTTATTTATGTATTTGCATCCTGTCTTTATTATTTTTTATAAATAACTCAAGGCAGCAAATATATCCAGCATACATTCCTTCTATTTGCTCCATAATCACAATCCTGTAAGGCCAAAGTCATCCAGCTAGTTTTTAGGACTAAGAAAGGACTTCAACACATTTTCTAGTCTGGTGCCTTAGTTACTAGACCAAACTGGTTCTCTATCAAAATATTGAAAGTTAATATAAGCAACATATCCTTTGAATCCATTAATACTATTTCTATATACCTACATAGGGTAATTCTCTTTCTGGAAGCCCTTTTATGTCAATAGACATAAAATTCTCTATAAAATGTTAAATTTCATTTCATTTGATGAAGTGATTTTCAACTAATGAAAGCTGATGCCTTTTCATAAAATTTGTTAGCTAGAAAAGAGTGCTACCAGATTCCTTCTGATTTTGGATATCATTCACTAATATAGCTCACCTGGAGCAGCCTGAGGAGATGGTGGCGGTAGTCATTGCATGAAGGGACCTGGGCTCAGCCACCCACCATCACCTTGATTGAAGCACCACCTTGTCCACAAATGGGCAAAGCTAACTGGGAGCTATTGGTCTACAACAGTCCCACTTCTTCATGTGGTCCCTTGGAAAAATTAATTGCTCACTCCTGCTTCAGATCATCCATGCTGTTGACTCTTGATTCAACCTCATCTTGGCCCAATGCTTTAGATACGAGCCAGATCTTCACAACCATCCAGAAGGCTAAAGAATACCCCACCGAAAACCTCAGCTGTGAAGCTATTCCAAAAAACCAAGGTGGCTACAGACAAAGCACATCTCCAAAGTCCCATCACATGACAGTGTTTAAAGAATGACCTTATCTGGTTTAGTAGGATGGGCAGAGGCTCTCAGGTTGAGGCAGTCCTGAATATGATCTGTGTCTATGTGATGTAAAATTTTAAAGATGATAACCAGAACCTTGAATTGCACTTGGAAAACAACTCAGAGCCAGTACAGCTCATTCAATAGTGATGTAACACTAGCATGGGCAAACCACAAAGTGCCCAGAACTGCAAATGCCAATACATTCTAGATTATTTTCAGCTTTTGGATGGTCTTTCAGGGTGGCCCCATGTAGAGCACATTGCAATAATCCAATATATATAAAAAGTGCTCCACAATTGAACACAATTAAACTAATAAAAACAAACAAATTCACAAGACATAGTCACATATATTGTACTCCCCCAACATCTCAGCCCTAACACCTGGGGGCCAGGTATTGACAGCCTTCCCAAAGATCAAGAAGTTGGGAGCCTCAGAATCTTTGCTTTAAGGAGCTACAAACAGAAGCTATGTGTGTGCCCTGCATACTCCAAATCAGATTTTCCTCTTCAAAATCAGATCACTGTGCAACCCTTGACCCTAGAATGTCAAATACTAGTATTTCTAGCCAATTACTTTTAAAAGATGAAAGAACGTGCTGCAAGATGACATATAAGCCTATTCCAAGGATATAGATAGATATATTTTGTCTTACATCAGTATGTTTGTGCAGAAAGTGTTCTTATTTATTCCCAATATCAAACATTTTGCATTTAGACATCTCAACAAGATGCCCTCCCTTCTTTCTGAAGTGTCTCTACTATACTGCATTGTTCTACAGATTCTGTGCCTGCCTGCTCACACAAAGCTGTTTTCAGAAGTATATTTTTATAAAGATTCTTATTAAAAGAAATTGTAATCACCTAGAACCCAGCCCTACAAAGTTAAGCATGATTAGTGGTTATGGCACACTGACTAGCAATTAGATCAGGTGGGGAAGGAAGAATGAAAAAATACTAAAATAGAATTGAAAGGGTCATGTTTGTGGGACTTGAATAACATCAATTTACATTGCAATATTTGGTGTGGATCTTGTTTGTTATCACCCTATCAAAATTTAAGAGTTAGATGTTCAGACGAGGAAGGAATTTTGTGGTGACAATCTTCTTGTCCTTTCATCATATTCCTAATGTTAACCTCACCCTGGATTCATCTTTTCAGACTAATAGATTAAAAGGTATGAATTTTCATGAGCTGGGCCTCACTTCGTCAAATTCTTAGAAAGGCTAAGTTGATAGAAGATTTAAACTGGGGTGATATGAGGGGTAAGGAGTGGAAAGCAAGTTGGTCGTTCAGATACTGGTTATATGTGAAACAGATTAGAGGTATCTTATCAATTCATACAAATTTATGCCTTTTAACAAATTTTGTTAGTCAGAAAAAGTGTGACCAGGCTCCTTATATTTTGCTACCTTAGGCTAACTGTGTTTGTTTCCTATAATATCTGCTCCTCTATAGAGGGTGAACTAGAAGCTGAATGGTTGCAAGATGTTGGTCTGTCTACATTAATATCAGAATCTGAAGAAGATAATGGGGAAGCATTGCTATCAACCTTGACCCGAACTCAAGCAGCTGCAGTGCAGAAGAGATATACCACATATTCTCAGACCATGAGAAAGAAAAATAAACACATAATCAGAGATGTGCGTGATATCTTTGGTACCCATAACTCCTCTGTAAGTGAATTATTTTAATGCTTTAGACATTTTTGAAATGTATTTGTTATTATCTTGGTTATTGGTTGATTACTCTGTGGAGTTTTGCTTTAAATTGGTATAATATTCTGTACTAAAAAGTTGAGAAAATGTTTAGCAAGGCCTATCAAAAAGTAGTTTCTGCTTCCTTTTTTATTTTATACATTCTGCTCTTGAATGTGATGATGGTAGATAGGAACAGTAACTGCGCTCTTCTTTAAAACTTTCACCAGACATTGCTCATGAATTCAAATGTATTTTTGTTCCTATAAGAGCTACAAATGAAAAAAGAATTAAAAAATTCTATGGTTTATCTTGTCACCTTTTATGTCATTCCATGAAGAAGTTAAGTGACAGTAAATCTCATTTAAAGTTTGTAAAAAGGAATACAATATGTGCAAGTACAAATGTATATCAAATTACTTAGGCCACCTCATTCTATTTTCTAAGGAATGTATTTATGGACATATCCTTGGGTGGCTAATAAAAAATAACTTTTTAAATTTATTGGTTAGTGTTAACAAAAAATATTATGATTATAACATATGTTTATATATAACAGATGTTTTGCAGTAGAAGTCTACTTATTCTTTCAATATGTCTTCATGAAATATTTTATATATAGGACTTAATAACTATTTTAAAAAATCACATGTTTGGAAATGTGTTATAATTGAAAATAAAATGCCTTTCTATGAAATACATATCAAAACTTCCTTTTGCCCACAGCTCTGTCAGTTAAAACTTGTTTTGATATTCAAGACAGTATTAGCAGTTTTAGTAATATCAGTACACAAGAACACATACTGTTATCAATACATTGTTTTCTATCCTGTTCATTAATTGACCATTTTATTTCCAGTTGTCATTGTATGATTTCAGTGATTTCCAGTGCTATTGTAAGTTATATGACATCCCTAGGCTAATTTTAAGTAGAGCTGAAATGATACATTTCACCTTGATAATAGCCAAACAAATGGGAGAAGCCATATTGAACTGCTGTATTTCAATCAATGTGAATTTTTTTAAAATAAAAAAATAGTTAAATCATTTCCATTCATATTTTTGAAGTAATTGTGGTACACTTCTATGAAATTCAATGTGGTTTTTTCCTCTTTTTGTTTTAATGAAATATAATTTTATTTTAATTACAATTACTATTTAATTTGTACAGTATGAAGAAAGAAAATTGTGTAATGCTAACTGCAGACTATGAATTTTATATTTAAAATTACAGATTTGTATTAGAGATAAATTATTCTAATGTTTTCTTGTCTTCCAGCCTACATTTGAAACTCTACCAGTGTTACCTGTTACAACCAATAATATCGATTTTTCTGTGCAGAATCCAGATTGGAAAATGGTTAGCTGTGAGTATTTATTAATAGATAACATAGCTTTTTGTTTTTTTTTTTTCAAAAAAAATCTGGGAAATAATTTGATCATTTGATCATATTTAAATTTTAATGCAGAAATCCTATATATTATTACTTCAGAATAAGTCTCTTTTATCACTGTGGGAATAATGACTAATTATATATTAGATTTTGTCATAGCTTTACTAGTTTACTACGGTAAATTTTATGCTATTCTTTCTGATGCCAGACATTTTCATCATAAGACATTTCTACTATTTCTTTTATCACTGAGAAAAAGTAACTTTAATAAAAGGCAGACAGTTCTTTTTTGATATGATAATATCACATCTCACTTATCTTTGTTTAAATATCTTGAAGTAATACACTTTTAAACCAAGCAATAGTCATAGGCTGACAGGTCCTCCACAGGACAAAAAAATATACTTGTAAATAACTATGATTTTGTTTTACTTTCACGTTTTCACTTTTTTTAAAAAAAATGAAAGAATGTAAAACAAATTAAATCAGAAAGGAAAGAAGTTGGCAGAAACCAAAAGAGTTCCTTGGGACTTTTCTTACCATGAGCATCATATTGTCTGCACCTGATTAAAACCCACTGAGTTCAAAATGGGGAGAAAAAAACTGCATATTTTTTTTTTCATTCCATCTACAAAGCTACTTCAGGTCCCTCATTTCTTCACTGCCAATGATTTAAATTGGATCTCAGTTCAGGAACTGAGGTGGAATAAATGAATAGCAAATATCTCCATAATTCTTTCATGAATTGCCATACACTGCAGCTCTTACTATAAACAAAAAGAAATATGGTTAATGCTCTAGAATTAGTTCCTCCAACCTATGAGTGTGTTATTTTTCCATGGAGAATACAGCATTCATGAAAATTTCCCTTGATTTCAGCTAGTGACTGTATGGAATATGAACTCAATAAAGACAGCCAGATGGAGAAAGAGGAGCTTTCCCTTGAAATTTCATTCTCAGAATCAATCATGGTGGTTCCAAAACACAGAGATTGTCACAAAAGTCAAAGGTTAAAAAAGGATGATTCTTCATTACCTGTAAGTTTAAGCTCCTCAAGTTTATGTACTCTATATCATGAGTTTCTTTCAAATAATGGCTATCTTAAAATATGTTACATTAACTCTGGAGATTTATATATATATATAAAAAGGAAAGCCAGTTTGTTTTCTAAACTTGGGCTATTACTTGGAAATGAATAACTAAGAAATAAGGTACTTTGCTGAAATTCATAGAATACTCACATTGGGGAAAAAAGTCTTTGATAGGCTTTAATCGCAAATTATGAAAGTCAAGAAAAAATTCACTTTCCTATCAAATTGGAAATGCCTAATAAACAGCCACATGCTATATGCAGATTAGTCAAAGATGCTCTACAAATCTTAATAAAATTACTTTATTTCTCGTGCTGAACTCAAGCAAGTTTTTCACGAGTTCCAGAATCTGTTGGGCAGGCTCAGAAAAAAGCACAAGACCCCAAGGTTTAGAATTTTTTTTCCCCCCCAGAAATTGAAGAATGAATTCTGCTTCAGGAGTTTCATAACAATATAATAAGTAGCAAAAAGAGAAAAAGAGAAAAATCTCTTAGTGTTAAAAAAGCTAATTATTGTAAAAAAAGCATTTTGTAGAAGTGGATAAATAAAATAATTATATCAAGTTTTTTGCCATCTATAATTACCTAATTTAGTCTACTAAGTACTGAAAGCTCTGTCAAGATGTTTTGAATAAATTCATAAATATTAAAAAAAATATTGACTCTTAATATTCCATGTTGCATACAAATGTTATTTCAGAATTACTCATACGATGGAAGAAGAGAAACTGCTGTATAGACCTACTATCTATAAATACTTGAGTTTATACAGATTTTCCCATGTATCAGGCCAGATACATAATGTTTGCTTGAAAACACTGTCATTTTTTTGCCTTTCTCTATTAGGTTTATCCTTCATAGGAAGACTTGCTGATAGCTGTTGCAGGGATGCATTTTAATATATAGTAATTTCCCTAAACATAAAATAAATTTAGTCTAATCTTATTCATACAGTAATTATTCAGAAATAAAGAGAAATTCTAAATGAGTTTGGATGGGAGGGTGAAATAGTGCCTTGCTACTTGTAAGTCTTCCATGTTTGTATTTAACAAGGCAAGAATCTAAATACAGTTTGTTTAATATTATTTTTTCCTAAATTCCTACAATAGAAGGGGAAGCTAACTCTGCCATCTATAGACTGAGGATTGTAATCAGCGCTTTTCTTAATAGAATGATTTATAATTTGATTCACTTGCTTTTTTGTAAAAATATACTTAAGGATGAAAAACTATGTGCATGCATGCATACTTAATAATGTTTTTGAATATTAAAGAATTATTTAAAATCTGTTACAGAAATATACAATTAGGAAAAGTCGAATTGGATTAACTGAAGTTGAAGATTTGTCTCCAGAGGACATGAAGAAAATTCGTTATCTCTCTCTGATTGAATTAACAGCTGTCTATGATGCTTTAGGAATAGAATTGAAAAGGAACAGAACAGAAAGGATGAAAAGGCGAGGTAATTACAAACAATGTTATGACATTAGATATTTAAGTTTTTAGTAACCAGCAAAACATTACTTATCTGAAGTCTCTTACTATAACTTATTTTTTATTTAAGAAAATGGCCTTTTTGGAGTTCCATTAGCAGTGCTCTTGGAAAATGATCAAAAGAAGTTTCCTGGAATTAAAGTCCCCCTCATTTTTCAAAAAGTGAGTACTAATTTAACAAACGTAATCTTAATCACCACTGCATATATAAAGAATAATAGTCATTAATCTTATAGTTTCAGGACAGTTGACAAGCTTATTTCTGCTTATGTTTTCAGTCAGAAAATGTAAAGATAAAATCATACCTCTCCTAGTTCACTGTATATATTGTGTTTCCTCAACCTGAAGCCTTGAAATGTTTTTTTGGACCACAACCCAAGAATTCCAATAGTTTGGTCACAGAATAGCTAGGAATTCTGGTACCTACATTCCAGTCCTTCTAGAAGATTCTAATTGGAGGCCCTGTTCTAGAAAAGATAACATAGTCACACTGAGTACAAGTTCAGCTTGCTGATTCATCATTAAATGATAAAATAGAAGCAGTTGTTTTATCTCTTGTTTTTATTTTGCTTGCATTTTCTTACTAAGAATAACTTTAGATCTTAATGATGAGTGATTACTATTATTATTATCTAGAAGACTATAACACAATCTTATTTCCTAAAGAGCCCCAATAATTCTTTCAATGTTTCACTCAATAGAAAGTTTTAATTCCTTGTTTAATTTTTGTTTGGGCAAAGGTTCAGGATATCTGTTATCTTTAAGCTTCTCACGCAGTAAACGGAATTCAAAAAACTAATAAAAAAGGCACTTAGGGATTTGGACTAGTTCTGTTTACTTAATCACACTGATTATTTTGCTTAGGCAAAATGTTTTATGTTCACAGGAGCCAATAGTTGTAAAAATGTCTCTATATTTTTAAAAATCTCTGCATTAAAAAAAATTGCATAAAAGTACTTTGTTTATTATGACATAGCTATTGCTCAAACTTGAGGAAACTGGTCTGGAAACAGAAGGTATTCTTCGAGTGCCTGGATCTGCTTCCAGAGTGAAGGTAATCAGTTTTTCTTTCAAAGTTAAAGACCTTTGATATTGACGTAGGGAGAAAATCATTTATGGGCAAGTTCTGTGTGAACATATGTATACATAAAACAAACTGTTTATTATACATATTAATAGTGCTCTCAGTTTTATAGTTGTCACACAACGGAAATGTCCCAAAACCTCAAAGTTTGGTGAACAAAGACATTGCTTGGACAAAAACAATGTTGAATGCTAGATCTGTGCAGAGCTTTGGATTCAATTTCAGACGGGTGCATCAAAGCATGCAAGAGGGAATTCATTAGCAGCCTGCAATTTTATAAAGCAGTGGCAAACAGGTCCTATGTTTGCCCCATGCAACTGACTTGTACATCCCAAAGCACCTTTCTGCAATTGACTTCAAATAATCCCATAGAAACCCTCCCTACCCCCCCCCCTTTTTTTTTTTTTTGTTCAATCATGTCCAATTCTCAGAAACTGTCTGACAAGTCCCTGCAGTTTTCTTGGCAAGGTTTTTCAGAAGTGGTTTGCCATTGCCTCCTTCCTATGCTGAGAGAAAGTGATTGGCCTAAGTTCACCTAGCTAACTTTGTGCCCAAGCAGGCCTCCTGGTTTCTAGCCTTATGTTTTAACCACTACACCAAACTGGCTATCATCCCATAACCTTGATGAATATTAAATATGCTCAGTAAAAACAACAGGGAAATTAATGAAGTATGGCAAATAGGTATATTCTATCCAACATCCTATTTCTGCAGATCTGCAGATCATTTACTCTCAGTAACCACATAGATTTTCTCATAATAATATATCCCTAACCTGGTCTTTCAGATCTTTCAATGGCGCACCTATTGTCACTATAACTGAATCCATCCACCTTGTTGGTCCTCCCCCTTTCTCTTTCCTTCTGCATTTCCCAGAATTAGAATCTTTTCCAGCGAACTGGGTACCTTTGCATAAGGTATCCAAAGGAGGACAACTTGAGCTTGTTCATTTGTACCTCTAATGAGAATTCTGGATTGATTTTTCAAAATGTTTCATTTGTTTGTTTTCTTGACTGTTCATGTTATTCTCAGGAATCTTCTCCAATATCAAAGTTCCAAAGTCCATAATATTCCTATCCTACTGTTCCTTCCAGTTTTTACTTCCTTAGTATCTCGTAGAGAGTACTGTGGCATGCATAATTCTGATCTTTATAGGTACAGACACATCGTAACATTTCAATGTCTTTTCCAAAGTGAATTCAATCTGATAATTCTGTTAAATCATTACAGTATTTGCTGCTCTAGATTTATCAATGATAATTCACCCTAGCAATTATCATCTGTTTGCTTTAGCTCACTGCTAAAAATATTTAAGATTAAGTATGTGTGTTTGCAGCTTTGACCTAGATCTGTTGTACTGTTTTGCTGCATAATGCATTATCCCACCCATCAAGCTTTCCTGAAAATGGGTGATATCATCTCTTTTAAATATTAAATAAACATGCTGAAGGGATGCAGTAAAAGAATAGGTGCGAGGGAGAGGAAGACGAGAGCCAAAAGCTGAGACAGAAAGAGACTAGACAGAACAATTCTTCCACCTAAACAAAATGTCCCCAGAAAAAATCTTACCAAGACCCTCAATTTGGAAGCACCTCTGTCACCTTTGTCAATTAGATTCAATTTATGCAAGAGAACAAATGTGTAATTCAAAGAATACAAAATTTCATTACTATGGAAGAAAGTATTCAAAATAAAATATAAGATGATAATACTTGTAAGGAAGTCACCTTTTCTATCTTTTTCTTTTAGAAGAGGGAAACCCAAAACCCAAGAGGGAATAGCCCTACTACATTACTATAGTTTCAGATAGAACAATTCTATCTTACCAGTTCTTTGCTGCATGTATCAGATTTCCTACTGGTAAAGAGCTACTTTTGCTGAGATTATCAATAAGGAGCAACATGGTGTTAAGATAGGAGAAGATAGACCAAGTTCAAGTTCACTCCTAGCCATGGAAACTTAAGGACTGATCACTCTTGCCTGTGTCACAGGGCTGTTGTGAGGAGAAACAGGTGAGCTGTTTGAAGAGAGGCTGGATTCAGATCTGAGAAATCTAACTACACCTGGAGAGTACCATTCTAAAAAATAAATGCATTAGAGACATCTTGCCATATTAATCTGAAATAACTGCTCTATTCAGCTTCGATTTTTGTTCAGCCTGTCATTTCATAAACATTTAAGATTTTATCTATTCTATTATATACTGCAGCAAGAACAATACTTTCAGCATTAGATTTCATACAGTTTATAAGCAGCCTTACTTTTTTCTTTGTCTTCTGAGCCACTGTGATATGTTTTACTAGATCAGACTTCTCGTACTAGAAGGAAAGCCAAATGTTCCTAGGAAAAATGCCATGTTTTTAATTTCAGTTATTGAATCATTTAATGTTGCCCCAAAAGGAGAAACAGAAAAGGACATTTTTAAAGCTGGTCCAGATTTAACTATTCAAAGCCATCGTTTATTATGTTGACATTCACATTTGAAAGCATTCCCATTTCTTAAATAAAATACATGTGGTTCTGATTTAAGATTATTCTTTGAATGTAGCAGCTGAATAAAGACTCAAAGAGTCTTCTGTGTTCTTTAACTTCTACTTGTATCTATAAAAGGTTGCTGCCAGCTGGGTTATATTTCAGTACAGGCAAGAGATATGCAAAGCTATGTAGAGACAAATATGAGATTTTAGAGTGATACATATACTATTAGTTCAAATATCTTTACTATTTGACATGTTATTTGCTTCATGAATATTACCAGAACAACAAGGATTTGTCATGGGAGGCATCCACCAGGTATTCGGACATTGAGCAGAATTGGGTTTTATTTTCATGTGCGCTGTACTTTAAGTTTCCTGTGATAGCTACTTCAGGATTAGAAAATACTATGTGAAAAGAGGCTATTTCATTATTCTACTGTATTGCAAAGACTTGAGTCTACATGAAATTAAAATACAGCTTAGTCTAATTGAATTGAACATTATTTGTAAAAAGTTAAATTAAATTAACTTAAAATTAAATATGTTTGATATTGATATTCAAACTATATAAGATGGTTTTAAAAGTGTTATACTTAATCCAGGCACAAACTGTATATACTTTATAAATTATATTGTAACTTTAATTTATTAATTTTATATTAAGTAATTATATTAATTTAATAATAATTTCATTAATAAATACTAATATTCTGTGAAATCAAGTTGTTTAGAAACAATAAAATGTAATACAATTTCTTTTATTAGTGGTCATGCTTAACATTAGTCACATTTGCTTATCCTGTAGAGTCTTCGCCAAGAAATTGAAGCCAAATTTGATGAAGATGCTTTTGACTGGGATCAAGTACGCAACAATGATGCAGCAGGACTGCTGAAGATGTTTGTACGAGAACTACCAAGTCCTCTCTTCCCTGTGGAATACTTGCCTGCTTTTATCACATTAGTAGAAAGTAAGTAGGGAGATCTCAATGTTTCACAAACCAATTGTTTATGCCACAAAGAAGAAGGAGTCAAGTTATTCTCCAAAGCACCTGTATGTCATATACTGTATGTCAGTTGCAACTCTATGCCAATGCACATAGCACCTGTTGCTTTGCCTAAGGGACATGTGCACTTCCGATTTACTTTTGTTAAGTCTGATTTCATCCTCCAGTTCAAGTACCAAGTGTGGATAATTGGATAAAATATACCATGCATGGCATATACAATAATAGAGGGGAAAATGAAGAGAGGGAAAATGAAAAGTAAAATTTTTGACTTTATCAATAGGTACCATCTCTCAGGTCTAGGTGTTACTCTTTCAAAATAAAGACCATGTTCGTAATATTTATAACTTGAAAAATGTACAAGCAGTTTATTAATAGAATGAACTTAGTCTCAGTGACAAATCTCATCTACAGTATTGTAAAATAATCTGTACATCTCATTATTCCACAGCCATGTGCAAAGGACTGCAGTTCTACATCATGATAAGCCAAAAGTAAACAAACCACAAAGTGACTTGCTACAGTGTATAACTAAGGCATAATTTGAGCTAGACTTGCAGTTTAGTGGCCCAATGGTGTTAGACCTGGGCAATGTGATAGTAGTGATGCAACAAATATGAAGCAATGTTTTTCACTTATCAAAACACAAAAGTGAAGGAACTCATCTCACGAGGGTGTTTTATGTCATCCCAACACATGAGCAGATGTCTCTGACAGCATTTTCCAATACCCCATAGAAAGCATGGAAGAAACCATTGGAGCAACATGAAGAGAAATAATGTGGCAATTTCTTTTTTCGAAGCAAAGGAGCGTGATACTTCACAAAGAATACCTTTCAAATTTAAAATATCTCAGCTTCAATATGCTTCATTTTGTTTGAAATATTACTTTGCGTTTATATCAGGTTCTATTATACTGAGAATATTTCAAGCTTGAAATGATCACATTTTCAGCTCAAAATCCCTTTTCATAATAAAAGGAGAACTGCTTCCACCTTAAAACACTTCTGGTATACTGGGAACAACTCATTTTGAACTCAGAAGGGTGTTTTGAGCTCAAATTATTTTAAATTAAAATAATTAAAAGAAATCACATTTTTAAAACCAGTACGGTCTTGAGTCTATGATTTTTAGACTCTTAATGTGGCGTGGGGTTTGGGGGGGGGTTGGTGGAATTAAAGATGAGATTATCTAAAGTCCAGCTTTGTTGAAATATATTTCTGTGAATTTTTTATGGACTTTTACTGATAATCTAAAAACAGTTACTTTTTCATGACTCCAGTGTTGGTAGTGGGTATCAGTTCCAGACAGAAATGTTATGCTATTTCTTATAATGTCTGTGGCATTATCCCCTTTAATAAAAACCACACTTCTTGGATTGTTGAAAGAGGAGCTTCTGAGAGACAGTTCCATGTTGTTTATTATTGCAATGTCTTGTCCCTTAAGTACTTCTTATACTTTCATCCATGCAGGATATACTGTAGATTCGCTGCCAAAGGCAAAACTGCCAGTGATTTCAGTGAGATAATTGGTTGAGTCAGGATAGTCTGTATCACAGGATTAAAATAAACTGCCAGGAACTGATGCCAACCAATCCACTTATACTGTAACACCCTTTACTTTGGGTTAGAAAGACAATATTGTTTCTATGCCATTTACAAATCCTCTGCTAATATGGTTCAGTACTTTCATATAAACTGATGGCAAATGATAAATTATCCCTAGTGCTGCGTAAAAACTTTACAGTTTTGATTAAATCATATCAGCTGACTGAGACTGATTCAATGGAGGGACATGAGTCCTGCTTCAAAATAGCAAATTGAATTAGGAGAGTTCAAAGTCCTTTATAGGCTTTGGAGTGCTTCAGGACTAGAAGGCTTTGCAAATATTGCTGCCTCCTAAGGCAGGCACTACAAGTATGTGAAAGTAGTTACTAGTAAAGCATATGAGGAAGTAACTCATGACACATGGCGTAGCAAGAATGTTAAATACCATGTCGTTGTCACAACAATTAAGAATCGTCAAAAATAATTCTTAAATAGTATTTTAACAATTATTCCTCGAGGGTTTCTCATTAAGTAGTATTCAAATTGAATTTGACAGGTTAGATAAACGGGCTGTAAATTATACAATGAACTGTAATAGAGACAGAGCCAAAAGAATTCTCTTAGGAATCAAAATAAAATGAATTTACACTGAATGAAAAATGTCTTGCTTTAGATTCCTTCAAAGAGCAAGGAGATAGATTTAACAGATACAGCTTACTGTGGTTCTGTCTGGATTTTAGCAAAGAGGATTTTACAATGCTTCAGTTAAGATTTTTCAACCAACTGCAAAACTGTTTGTGTTCAGGGTGGATTGTCATTTCCCTATAGGAAATATGGTTTTCCCATCAGTGAAAAGTAAATTGGCTTTTTTACTCTATTCTCCAAAACAATTTCCAGCTTGTAGTGGTGTTTTACATGAGTACTTTGTGCCTAATCTAATTTTGGGATCTTTGAAATAGCTGTGCAAACATTAGTCATGGTCTTTTTTTCTCAGGAGACTATAAGAAGAGCATACATCTACCACTCCTCAGTATAAGGTGCCTAAGGATTCATTAAAAAGCTTATTGTTGTTATTGCTTTTAATAAGATTACTGATATTTAGAATAGACTGTTTCATAGCCACTTAAACTGGCCTAGCTTCAAAATGAAGAGAATAATGAAAAGTAACAATAAACTGAAAAGAACCTAGATAAAACTGGTCTTTAGGATAGAATTATTAGAAAATTATGGGCTGGACCTCTACACATTCATTAACTAAATTAAGATAATTGAGAAAATACCAAACTACTACATATTCCCAAACCTTCGTAACAATAGCAATAGATTACTATCAGGGAATTGTTTTCCATGGTCAGTAACAGAATTAGGTATCCAGTTTTGTTCTACATCTTGTTCAAGAACAACTCCTAGGAAGCATAGCTAACGAGTAGGACTGATTGAAGTTATTCAGTAATATCTGAGGTATTGCAGGTTGCTGACTCTGTAATTTCAAGGTTTTTTAGACACAGAGAAGAAAAGTGTCACTTTATTATGAGATTAATTTCGAGACTCTTTTCTTATCCTTCTCCTTCTCCATGTGCAGACAAGATTTAAATCTGCTTTAAGACATGGCAGAGCCACTCTGCTTTTAGAAAGATGAAGCATTGAAATGAATAATTTCCAGATATCAAGACGGTGATGTATTATGTTATACAGAGGACTTGCCCTTTGAACTAAAGGTTATGGCTTTTCCGACATCAAAGAACTGATTGGCAACCGATAATGAAAAATGGCCTGTTTGTGACCCGGGTAATATCAGCTATGCAGAGAATGAATCCCAAAAGACAAGGCTTCCTTGTGAAGAATATAGTATTTTAATAGCCCAAGCAGATGTTTTCCATGCTGTACAATGCTGGACAATTGAGCCTGACTAAATAAATAAATAAATAAGTGGAAAAAAGGAAAAATGGCCAATACTGCATAGAAATTAAGAAGTAAATCCATACTCCATCTCAGGTGTAAAAAAAGAAAAAAAATCTCATATTGAATATGAATCTATAGTATGTGAGGAACTATAAAATAATATTTTATTAATTATATCAAATGCTTTTGTTGTGAGTTATCATTTTTTATTATCATTACAATAATCCAGAAGTTAGTAAAAACATCAAAAAAATGAAATACAAATTAGACCATTCTGACAGAAGGATTAACAATATCAAAATAAATATACAAATGCAATCATGTTGATTGGGGGAGGGGACTCCAATCTGAATAGACTAGTCATCCGATGCCATCAAAATAATCTGATGTCAAAATGTCTAGCAAATCAGGAATTTATTTTCCTCCCAATCAAGAGAAGCAAAATGATTAAGACTAGTGCCAGTGTGTGGACAGCCTGGAGCTATTAACACATTCAATTCTGACATTGTTAATAACAGAACAGAGTTTAGCTAAGACTAAAAATAGTACTCTTAGCGGGGTATTAAAAAGTATGCAGCATATTGCCAATTTTTAAAAAGAGATTGCACATCCCACAAATGTGTAGATCCAATGAATTGTAGAAAGCCTGTACGCAAACCTGGAATGTAGAAAGCATGATCTGGATGCCCATAGACAATAACCATCTACATACATAGTATTTTTCAATGAGCACATTATCTGAAAAAGTAAATTAATGAGAATGCTTCATAATCCTTTTTCTAACCACTGAGGCTTTATTTTTTCAACTATTTTATTTTCTAAGAAAATTTTACACATGTCTTTAGGGCATTCCTGGGAATTATTTGATAAGTTATTGATATCTGATATTTCTCTTTGCACTGTCAAAATTTTCACTTAATTGATTACAAAATTATGTTTACCATAATCTAAACCTAAATGTTTAAAAGTTAAATGGATTAGGGAATCAAGCATCCAAGAAGAGACACAAGAATGACCGTTGAAACCACACTTTAGATACCAGGTCTAATGACTTTAAAACTCAGGAATAGAACAAATCTGACATAGATTATTCAGGCTTTTATTCTCCCAAATGTAGACTAATCTTGTCCCATTCTCCATATTGTTTTTCCACCTATGATAAATGTATGTATTACTTATTATCCCCATATAGTAACTTTTAAAGTCAGTTTTCACAAATAATGTCTTTCTATATGCACCTTTTTCTGTAGAATTGTCCTTGATAATAAGCATTATTGTACAGATTTGGTTTCAGATGCAAATTATGAAGAGCGAAGATTTTGATATATAGAATACAGAATAACAGATTGGGAAGGTCTTCTAGTCCAGCCCCCTATTTCAGACAAATGGTTCATATACATTTGGGAATTTATCAGTAAATTATGAATTGATAGAATCTCTGCAGTCAACATGCCTAAAAAGAATTAAACCCATTCACTGCAGATAATTTTAGTAACAGCTTATCAGCCAAGATTTTAACAAAATGAAAATCTACATTTCTGCCACAGCTTAAAACCAGTCTTTCTCTTTTTGTCCTGTTCCTTAAAGCTCCCGTGGAAGGAATACTGAATGAAGTTTACTTCTTGTTTGATTCAGTGGACTTTTATCTTCCTGTTTGACAAGTACCTTTAATCCTTACCTATGGAATTCACTGAAAACCATAACTCTATATGTCATGCTAGATTCCTACCAGGTAGCTCACTTCAGTTGTTTACAGGCTTTTTCTGATCTTTCATTCTTAGAAATATCCAAAATCAAACTGCAGCTTCAGGCTTTGCATCTGCTGATCATGCTCCTTCCCAATGCTAGTCGTGATGCAGCCAAGGTAGGCATATTGTTCAATAGGGTTTGATATCAGTCTATCTTTGATAATGTTCCCATGATCCAATAATAAATGCACTAAATTAAATTCCCCAAAGCCCTCAACAAATCTGCCAACTTTCTTGTTCTTAGGCAATTTCCTCATTTTGGAAACTCTCAGCTTCCACAACTCCCAGCTCATTTCTACATAGAGCTCTTTTTGAAGTGAAAAGACTAGCAGAGTTGTATCTATGATTTATGGAGCACCAAATCTTTTATCTGACTACTCAGGAAAAATGCTTTAGAAATGTACTTAATGAGGCTGAGTGAAACTTCGGTTTTTCAGATCAAATGGACTTATTAAGTTGAATTGATAATCAGACTTGATCTTGGGTGATGCACACAACTTAGTAGGTAGGTAGGCAACCCTTGGCACTGGTACATGCTCACCAAATTGAATAATTTTTACAAATGAAATGATACACAACTTGGATCATCTTGTGGGATGAATGCCACATTTATGGATAAAAGATAATCATTGGATTTCAAATTGGCAGAAAAACAGAATTAAAATATTTTAAATATATAGTGTTATAGTAATTATTATATACAGTGATTAGCTATTTTGTGGAAAATATAGCCTAGTGTTATTTAAATCCAGGGAAAGAATTCTTTTTTTTTTTTACAAAATGCAATTACTGTAATATTAGTGTTTATCAATAAATAGCAGTGACTTTATTGTTTTTTATTTAGGCCCTTCTACAGTTTTTGAAGAAGGTAGTTGCTAATGAAAATAAAAATAAAATGACTTTATGGAATGTGTCCATGATTGTTGCCCCAAACCTCTTCATCTACAAAGGCAAACATGCCAATCAAGAAGAGATGCTAGCAGCAGCCACTACTGCTCATGTTGTAAGGCTTTTGATTAAATACCAAGATATCCTATGGATTGTAAGTAATGATTTCAATTTTACTGTTAAATAGTATTGGCATTTTTTCTTGCAGAGATCTTCCTTTTATCTGGATCTTAAAATATCTAGAAACTGTAGCCATGTAAAGCTAATCGTCTTGCAAGATAAAACTTATATTTATTTGTGTTTAAATTAGGTGTTTATTCTGGTACAATAAAGTCATACCTTCCCAAGCACTAGTAGTAAGCTTTTTCCATGTATTTAGAAGTTACAAGAATCTTTAAGGCAGTGGTTCTCAACCTTTTTCATGCTGCAACCCCCCAACCGGTCATAAGTCGAGGACTACTCAACCAGTCGTAAGTCGAGGACTACTCAACTGGTGTAGCACCATCGGCAGAATGGGACTTTTGGCGGGCTCAGCAGGGCAGAAACAGCCTGGACAATTCCTATTGGCTTTTGAAAGCCAATAAAATTAGACTCTATTCAAGAGAGTCTATTCTATTGGCTTTCAAAAGCCAATAGAATAAAAGGGAGTAGCACAGCTAAGGAAAAGGGGGAAAAATGGCTGACTGCATTGTTTGGCGACCCCTGTGAAATGGTTGTTCGACTCCAAATGGGGTCCCGACCCACAGGTTGAGAACCACTGCTTTAAGGAGTACTGATTAAATAATATCACATTTATAACTCACTGATTCCTGTATTGTCGTTTTCATACTCTTTATCCATGACAGTTTTCGTAAATGGTGTAGACTCAAATAAAATCTGATTTGTGTAGCCGTGAAAACAGTAGGCACCAAGATGAGAACATATATGTTTTCATCCTATGAAAGTACTTGTAAAATGATGGTTCTGGAACTATACAATTGGGTTTTTTTCTCATTCATTTGTGTCCGATTCTTGGAGACTGCCTGGACAATCCCTTGCAGTTTTCTTAACAAGAGTTTTCATTGCCTCCTTTCTAGAGCTGAAACAAAGTGACTGGCCCAAGGTCACCCAGCTGGCTTTGTGCCCAAGGTGGACCATTTCACCATTTCACATTTTGCTATTTTCAGCACAAAAGTCCATAAGAGGTTTCCAATCTTTTATAAAAGTGCTTATTCATATTCAATATTTTTAGAAGCATTACAATACTAACATATAATTTGAAAAACATAAAAAACATACAAAGTATTTATATGGAAAAGAATTTACTTGCTTAAAAATAGAATTGTATTGAAAGCTTTTTTTACTCATCTTTAATAAAGTTTATGGTGATTTCTGTCTGGAACAAGACTAGAATGTAATTTGGGGAGAGAATTCAAAAATTGAATTAATGGATGACAAAGCACATTAGCCTTCAGGAAAAATACAGTTGTAGATACAATACTTTAGGAAATACCATTATGATTCTGATGACACTCATAAAACCATTTACCATGTAAACTTATTTCTTTTTTATTTTTCTATGTAGGTTCCAACATTTCTGATTACTCAAGTGAGAAAGATGAATGAGGCTGCAGTGAATAATACTAAAAAACAACTCATGTTTGACAAGGGTGTAAGAAAACTATTGAGAAGGAAAACTATGGACCGGGAGAGACCAGAAAGAACAGAGGTGGTTATTTTCTTAAGAAAGTAAATTTTCTTAATTAAACAAACCAGCATAGATTCCAAATAATGTGCAATAAAATAAATGAAATAATATAATCAGATCCAGAGGAGCATAATTACTGTTTATAAAATGAATCCAAGTGCTAGATTGGGTTACAATGCCTAGATACCAAGGTTTTATATTTGCACATAGACTTATTTATTTAGAAGTGCTAGTACCAGTGCTTTTTTTGTAAAAAAAAAAAAAAAGGTACCAGAACTCACACACGCCATACAACCCGCCTTGCTATCCTACAAGTTTCCATCCCAAAAAGGTGCCATTCTGGGTGTTCTATGACAAAAAAAGCCCTGGCTAATACTATCTATATTAGTTTTATTTAAAGAATAAAACTTAACTAAAGACAGCTCAGTGAAGAACAGTTAGTCCAATGGTTGCCTTTTTAGGGATTTGCCTTTTGTTTTTTTTAAGCAATGCCTCTTTACTTCAGAATTACATTTGTTACTGGGGTTTATTTTTTAGGAAGCAGGCATAGTATTCTGCTATAAATGAAATAGCTACTTACCATGTGCTATTTAGACAGCAACCAGTGGATGGAGTCTCTCTATTTTTGAATGAACATTTCATAGATGATAAATCTAGAATTTATTACCAAATTTACACCAAGGCTTTAAATCTGATGTGCCGATTGACAGAAGATACTTCCTTCCATAGCAGGAGATGAAACTGATAGTGTTTAGATCAATAAACTAAATGTTTATCAATTTAGCATAAATGTAGTTTTCAGAAGTTCTAAATTATGCTTTTCCAGAAAGTGGAGATAAACTGTTAAATAGTTGCTATTTTCTTGAATGGCACTAATTGTGTTAAGGACTGGAAGCAAGCATTACAAATTGAATTATTCTGGTACTTTTGAAAAAAGAATTGGACATCTGTAGGAACCTAGTGTAAGGCCCGTCAAATTGTGTTTGCAACTATCTTTTCAACCAGCAATTTACTTTAGTATTAACTTCAACAATAAAATTACTGCCTTTTTTGTGGCATTAAACTACATTTTATATACCATTATATTATGTGAGTAGAGTAATAATGCTTCAGGGGACAGGGGACTTCCTAGCTGATTCAGGAATATTCAAACTGTTCACAATGAATCTGTGCTATGCTGTTTACACAGTGTGCTAAGACATATGGTCTTTGCACATTGTGTAAATGGTCAATATACCATTTGGTCAATATACAACTGGAAAAGATCCAGCAATTATTTATTTTCTAAAGTTAATTGTTAACTTATGGTCACTAGTCTCTTGCATCCAGATGACCAAGGTTACATATATCTTATATAATGACAAATATAGTTGGTTAAAGATGGTTCAAGCACACGCACATCTATTGAGATCCCAAATTAAAATTTGGACATATATAGCAGAGTCTTGGACATCTTGCATGTAAGGCTGTTGCATTTCAAAGAATGCTATTGTGTCACTAAATTCTGTATGATACCCTTATAGTTATATAAACCAATTCTTTCTTGCATTTATTATAATTCACTGTGTTGCTATGCCCTTGCTTCAATATAAGAGCCTGCAATAACACTGTAATATAATGCCTATAGGTACAAATCCTGAAATTTTCTTGATTAGGTCTCTTGATTTTTTTCCTACAGTTGCAAACACCAAAGGATTATTCAAAAGCCGCCCTGCAAGCAGAAAGTACACTTGCTATGGCCCTCCTAGACAAAATGAGACAACTTGGCGCGGCCAGCTGGGGACAGCCCCTTCGCCACCGCTAAGTCCCCTCTGACAACTCACTGCCACTGGATCATTGCAGGATAACTTAACATGGGCAAATCACTACAGGGACAATTTGCTGGGTTTAAAGATCCCCATCCTCCCCCACCGCTACCAATGCTGTGCTTGCTTGCTCACCTGCCACTTGCTTGCCCACTTGCTTGCTCACCTGCCCGCCTGGCCACTCCTCCGGCTCTCCATCTGGGCTCAAACAGCAAATTGTCCCCCAGTGAATGCCCATGTTGAGTTGTCCTGCAATGATTTGGCAGAGGGGACTTGGAGGTGGTGATGGGGCTGCCCTCAGTTGGCTAAACCAAGTTGTCTTAGACCCCCTCATCAGCTTTCATTCACTTGGACCGCTTCTCGATTTAGACTTACTTCTTTTCAATCCTTTATTTAGTTTCAGAGTCCTTTTACCTTCCTTTTTTATGTGACACTACAGAAATACAGCTAGTGTGTGTGGGGGGGGGAAGGTTTGCAGACTGATACATAATTATTTGGCAAAGTTGATTTCAGGTTAGGGTTTATTGAGAGTGCATTTTTACATTTTCTTGGACTTTTTTTGGAAAAAAACCCATATGCTTTAATGTATATCTCAACCATTCTTCTAGGTAATCTTTGAATGGTAAGAAATTTAGCAGTAGTGGCAGTGATTCAGAGACAGAGGGGAGCTTTTTCACCCACTTGTGTCCTCTGCATCCCAACAAAATCTCCATATATGTTTTTAAGAGGTACAGCAGCTGTCCCATTAAAACCCTGGAAGTGTGAAAATGCTATGTGAAAATGTCCTACCTTTGCTATTTTATCTCTTCCTTTGCAGCCTTTTTCTCGGAGTTGGTCTTTTCTGAAAGTAAAGACCAGGGATTGGCTTTATACAGGAGAGAAAGTTGCCATAAGGAAAAGGAGGCATGAAAATGCAATTCAGGATATAGCATAGTGATTTACAATCGTACTATAATTAATATATGTATAGTTTGCTAAATTATTGTTTGTTCCTCTTTTTGTAGTCTGATATACCTGAAGGTGTGATAAGAGTCCATGCTCCGCTGCATTCAAAGGTTTCTATGGCAATTCAGCCAAATAATCAAACAAAAGCCAAAGATATTGTGGCACGATTTTACTGTGAAAACAGGCAAGTAGAAGCAGAACAATGGGACAATAGCCCAGATTCAAGTTTCATTGTTAAAGTAGGCTTTACCTGGTTTAAGAAATAAAGTTTTAACTTGTATTTGACTTTAATCAATATGTGAGACTAAGATGGGCCATGCTTAACGGAAAGCATCCATGTGATTACTCTGCCAGAGCATTAATCTATTGCTTCATTCATTTGTTCATGTCACAATTTCCAAGTTTACTAGCTTTAGGAATTGAGCTGCAAGCCAAGAATCAAAAGGAAAACAAAAAAGGAATTGCTCTAGTATCAGCTGAAGCCAAGTGTTACACAAATGAGACCCATTCACCAGTGTTCCCCCCCCCCACAAACTGCTCATATTAAAATGAATGAATCTAAAAATTACAACAAGCTGGTTTTAATTATAGTTTCTCTGGCTCAGCTAAGGGAACTAATTTTGTGCTGGCCCTCTGAACAGCATTTCCTCAGCAATTAAGAGAAAACTCATGGTTTTTAAAATGCCGTTTGAGAAGTTCGATTAGGTGTTCACAGACAAGATGGCAGGTAGACAATTTTCATAAAGGTTTTTTTTTAATGGCTTTACAGCTTCACTTTTTCTTTCCCACTGTGCATTGTTTCCCACTTTTCATGAGAGCTGAAAAAATTTACAGGTTCCAATTCTAGCATAATTTCCCTCCATTCAAGCATATATTAGCAGGGATTTGGGTCCATAAATCACTGCACCTTCCTTATTACCATCAGTGTTCCATTGGCAGAAGAGTGCTGAAAATTGAGCTTTCTTTTGATGCAAGAAAGGAAGTCTATGAAATTGGGTATCTCCTCTAACAGTGAGAAAGAAGTTCAGTATGTCCTACAGTTCTTTGTAATCGAAGAGAAAAATGTGTATTTCCAATATATATGCCAAACAATTGCATTATTTACTGAGAATAAAACTATTTAATTTAATGTAGTGAACCTTGAAGAAAAATATACTGCTAGAATTTGCATTATGTTACATTAACTCCACCAGAAATGCTTGACATAAATCAGCACAGAATTTCATTCTAATGGTAAAATGTAGCTAGCCAGAATCACGATGGAGTTGGAAGGACTATAAATCAATCAGATTATGAAATAAATATGATGAAGCTAAGTACAGTATACTGCTGATTCTTCACAGAAGACTTTAAGTTAAATTTGTAGCAGCAATTTCAAATTTTATATAGAAACACTACAATAACATAATAGTTAATTCAATTAAATGGTTCTATACAAAAAATAACAGATGTAATTCTTTCCAGACACTTTTAGGTTCCACTGAACATTAGCCCCAGACAACATAGTGAGAGGTTTAATTCCAGAGTTAATCAGAAACGTACCTCTTGCTACCAGAATGCTTTGTTTTTCTATTCTTAGACCTGGATCATCAGAAGAATTGAAAATGCCAGTCCAAAGTTTATATGAAATTGGAGGAAATATAGGCAAGTTCTTATTTAAACCTCAGAAATAGCAACTATGTCCTTGATGCTTCCTTTGCACATGCAGCCAAGAAGAATGCACAGCAAGTATGATAGGGCTACATTACTACTTATTTTAGTACCTAATTCAGTGGTGGCGAACCTATGGCACGCATGCCAGAGGTGGAACTCAGAGCCTTCTTTGTTGGCTCACGCGCTACCGCTGCCACAGCAGGTCCATCAGGCCACCACTGCCACCCAGAGCAGGAGCCTCGCCCAGCACAAAGGAGGCAAAGCAGCCGACTAGCAAGCTCAAGTAGAGGTGGTAGAGCAGAGATCACCAATCATTGTCGATTGGTGGACTGGAAGAAAAGGGAGGGGGAAGCATTTTACATGTGTGCATGCTCACACTGTAAATGGGGCAAGGCTAGTGCCTGCATGATACTCACTAGCCCTGCCCCATTCTTATATAGTGCAGCACCTTGTATCTGCATCCCATGGTGCAGTGGTGGCCATTTTTGCGTCTTGCAACCTGGTGGCTCATTTTTGTGCCCCCAGTTTTTGCGTGCCAAAGGCAGCACTCAGAGGAGCCTCACTGCCCCCCCCCGAGGGCACCACAATGCTGATGTGGCCCTGGCACTTTGCAATAAATAAGTGGGCTTTGGGTTGCAGTTTGGGCACTCGGTCTCTAAAAGGTTCATCATCACTGACCTAATCCATTTATCTTTATAAAACAAGATGTGAATATGGGAACCCACTAAGGTGAATATTCTGCATGTCTTAATTGGTTTCTTGCATAAGTGCCATGTACCAAGTGCTTATTTCAATACTGTAAATTAGAGCATATCAGAGGAAGTAAAATGGATTTACTAAGTAATCTTAGGACATGATGTAATTTAAAAAAAACACTCACCATAATTGTTTTTTTTTTAAATTTAGAATTAAACCTTTTCAATATGAAAGGCAGTGAGCCAGCTAGCTGCTCAGTCTTAAGATAGAAGGTCAAGTAATCTGTCCTCTAGGTTGGCAACTGCAGCATTTTCTGTCTACACACTAATTTTTACACAGTTGGTGTATAGAATTGTCATATATGTTTCTCAAAGCCTAAGATTCTCATGACATCCTACTTTCAGCACAAAAGCCAAACATTATATGAGTTCCCCAGAAGGGGTGGCTGCTTTAATATTTCAAGAAGGGGCACCGCACTGGTCCCAAATGCTTTGCGTAACCATAAGGTGTAAGGATTTTCTTAAAGATTATTTTTTTTAACAGCTGATATTTCTTTCAGGAGAACACTGTTTGGATCCAGATGCATATATGCTGGACGTGTACCGTGCCAATCCTCAAGCAGAGTGGGTAATTAAAGAAAAAAGAAGTTCAACATTTTAAAGACCTATTGGTAGAGTGTTTGGGGACAGTGCAAAAGTCTCCCATCAGGAGCCATGTTGCCATAATGAAGCCAAAGCAGATGTACCTTATATCTTTTAAACATAAACTAAGTTTCATGGTTCTGACTAATGAAACACTTCAAAGAACTTCCAGGCATGTTTATCCTGAAGCCTTTATTACCAGTGTTACAAATTGACGGCATATCATGGAGGTTTATGCCAGAATCTGAATTCCTTTTGCTGGCATCTAACTTTTCTTGCTAAACCCCTCCCTTATCTTGCAGTCACAAGTCACATCTTCCAATTAGCCCAGAGGGCAGAGATTCACTTCCGTTCCTTTTCTCTGGCTTCTGAATTAATTCTAAAAATACCAGACAGTTCTGCATATTTTGGCAAAGCAAGAATATTCAATATTAGCAGCGTTGACACTAAGCCCTTTATCATCAAGTATTATAGAACCTGAGAACTTCAATTAATAGTTTGTTATATTAATAATAATAATAATTTATTTTTAGTGAATGCTTTTTTACTGGTTTTATTGGTACAGTTGATGTGGTTAAAGAATACAATTTGAAATGTATGTCAATAGAAAAGAATGGGGTTTTTTTCCCCAGTGCCACTGAAAAGGGAGTTGTTCAGTAGCATCCGAAGACCAAGAATGACATTTAATAGAAAGGTTCTCAATGTAAAGGGGATAGAATTTTTTAAAACAGGAAATAAGGGCAGTTGGCCAGAATGCTATGACAACTCTTTCCTATTCAAAAACAATTTTTTATTGTGAAATATTATTACAACATATGTGACTCAGTTCCTATTGCTAGCTACCAGTGAGAATGAAAACTACTGTGTAAAGTATATTTAGTGTATTGTATATGAATATAAATAGTATATACAATTGCAAATTATCATTTTTCTGACTTTGCCAATTGTTGTACAGCTTACACAATTTAATAGACAATATACATATTTTGTATGGTATACCAATGATAAACCTACATACCAACCACTTTGAATCCTCCCCCCCCCATATGTACAAAAATGTTAAGTGTAGTTAGAAACTTCACAAAAAGTTCTTTTAAAATGTCCATACCATATTCATCCAGGAAGTTTGTTTAGTGATCATTCGAACTTCCACTGACACTGAAAAAAAGAGACATAAGACCATTTTTCACACGACCATTGCGGCATCCCCAGGGTCACGTGATCAAAATTCAGACTCTTGGCAACTGAGTCCTATTTATGACGGTCGCAGTGTCCTGGGGTCATGTGATCCAGTTTTGTGACCTTCTGACAACAAAGTCAATGTGGAAGCCATATTCACTTAATAACTGTGCTATTAAGTTAACAACTGTTGTGATTCACTTAAGGTCGTAAAATGAGACAAAATTCACCTAACAACTGCTCACTTAGAAACAGAAATTTTGGCCTCAGTTGTGTAAATCGAGGCCTGCCTGTAGTTGTTTTGCAAGTACCAGTTAAGAGACTTGTTTGTCTTCTTTGTCCAAAACGTATTTTCTTGTTATTTCTTTTGCTTGATGTTTGAAATACATTATGGAAAATGATTTCTTTTTGAAGTTTACATAAAATATAACTCTTGATTAAATCAATGCCTATTAAAGCTGAGTGTCCTTTAAATGTTGTACATGTTCACATAGGAGAAAACATATGGAAGTGGTGTGACAGCAAGATGGGTGGTGAGAAAAGGAGTAAATAAATAAAAATAAAATAAATATTAGTAAAAATACTCTACTGATAAAATGGTAAATACCCATTTTGAAGGGAAGCAGCAAACCTTGATTGAGTCAATTTGCCAAAGAACAGATTCACTTCATTATTTTAGGCAAAGACCATTGTTGCCTGAAACTTAAAGCTAGTATTTTGTCCATTAAATCTGAATTATTTCAAAATGAGGCCCAGGTCACTGGTGTTGTGGTACAGATTAGGTGTTCTTGCATTGTTACTTTATTATATCAATTCTTACCAAAGGAATTGTATATCATTTTCACACTCCTATTAATGTTGAGTACTTTTAAGCCAATGGTTTCAACTGAAAAATTGAGAAGGTGCTTAAAACATTTTGCCTTTAAAATAAATGGAACTTTTAAAAATTTTTCTGCATGACAAAATAAGACTCACTCATCTCCCCTGTCAATTGACACACTTTGTGGCATTACATGATCTCAGATGATCTTGTCAATCATTCAGCAGCCATGATTCCAGATCATGGCAAAGCAGACGGAGCATCACACTTTCCACGCTTTCCTTCAATGGTTGGTAAAATTATGCATCATTCCACCCAACTCTTTCCTGTTTTAACTGCCTCTGGCTGTGAATAGCAAAATGATCACAGACAAAATGCGGAGAAGCCAGTTAGGCAGGCATCTGGAAGATTTCATCCCAATGAAGGACAACAGCAAAGCAGTTTACCCTCTGGCAAATAGTTCGCATAATACTTTGGGAGTTGATAAATCAGGAAAATTAGTTTAGCCCCATCAAGACCAGATTGGCTTTGAATATTTCTTGGTTAATTGGATCTATCAAGTAGCTCCAGCTTAGAGTTTGAATTCAACCCATGCCTATGATCTAGTTAAGTATGTTTGCAAACTGTATCAAAATTTCTTAATATTTAGATCATATATTTCTCAATGAACTAAAAGTAATCTTGAGCAAATGAAAATACACTGTAAAAGGCAGAAATTTCTGATGTAGTTCAAGGAATATATGTCTACTGCATGAAGTTACTTTTATAGTTTTGTTATATTTTAATAATTAACAGTGCTCATAATTCTTATAAACCACAAAACAGAATTTAAGCGTATCGAACTAACTTATTTACACAGGTGGCTCAGTGAAATGTGGGAATCTTGAAAAATAGTCTATGAGCTATAAAAGAAGAAATATAAATTCCCTTGAAATGATACATATTTGAGCTATAGTAACTCAAAGGATCATTCAAATATAACATTTTCTAGGTTGTACATTACGCAATCAGTATCTTACAATTTTATTTAAAAATATGTAGTTATATCCACCTGAGTAGCGTATAGAGGAAAGTGCAAGTAGTCCTCAAGTTCCTATGATGGCAATTGGGACCGGAATTTCCATCACTAAGGGATGTGGTTGTAGAGTGTGGCCACATCACTTAGCAACCTCAATCCCTGTAGTACTTGTTGTCATTGACTGAATGCATCGGTGATTAGGCAAGACAACTTTCTACTGGCTTCCCATAACTAAAATCAGTGGGAAAGAGGCAGGAAGTTGCAAGTCCCAAGCCTGAAGGCAGTTAAGTGGTTGCTGCTGGATGGGTGAGGGAGTAAGGGTGTGAGGGAGGGTCATGGAAGCTGTGCAAAAGCATAGCACAAGTTGTAGGGGGAACGCACGGATGTTCCAGAAGTGCTATGCAAATGAGAGATGAGGCATGAGGGTGTAGGTGATGTACGAAAAGCACCATGCAAGTTAAGAAGATAATGCATGAGAGGTGTGGCTTGGGGAGAGTGCAAAGGGTGTGCAAGACCAGCAGCACAGGCAGGGTGAATGAGGGTACAAAAGTGGCCAGCATGGTACAGGCAATTTTCTCTGCTGGCTTCCATTTTGACTTTCTGCAGAAGCTGGCTGGAAGCTTGCAAATGGTAATTAAGGGTGCCTGGTAACCAATCATATGAACAGGTTGCCAAGCACCCAGTTAGCGATGATATGACAACAGGGATGCTGGGACGGCCAGAATTCTGAGGATAAACACCATTCATTCAGTGCTGTTGTAACTTCGAATGTTCGTTGAACAAATGGTTGCACACCAAGGGGTACATGTTTTTAAAATGATTTGGAGAGCCAAACTTTTTATTGTATTATTCTTTTAAAGGCAGACATCTACAAAGTATCGTTTCCTAATCAGTTGCAACATTCCATGTTCTATCAAATACATAAGGGAGACATTCTATGCAGAGATTTCCTTGCTTTTTCTTCTTTTCTGCCCCCGTCTTTTATATCCTACAGCTAAAACATTCCTGAAATGAGAAAAGTAAAGGGAAGCATATGAAACACTGAGGCCACCCTTTTAGTCTAGCTGACTATTGGCATGGCTAACGAAGTGCAGTATGATACTAGTAGGCATACAGAGTGGATGTCAGTCTGAAGGTAAATAGGCCAAATTTTCTAGTTGCTTTGAAAAGTTTCACTCAGATCAATACTGTCCCTAATGTTCTGGATGTTTGCTCTCTTCCAGGACAGCCTTCGAAATTGCTGAAACTATCATCACAGTTTCGGACTACTCATTCACCCCCTGGGGTTCTTGTGTCTTTTCAAGGCTAAATCTGGAAGGTAGCCAATGTTGAATAGGCGGAATAAAATCTAAATATACTTTGTGAAAAATACAGAGGTGTTCACTATTTTATTGTTGTTCTATTCAAAAGTAATATAAAGTGAATGTAAAAAATGTATCTCCTTTAAAATACTTCTCTAGTAATAGCACTCTGCTGAGTTGCCTATTTTTCATAGTTTGAACATTGACGTCACTAAATGCAAACATTTTAGAACTAACCTGTATGTATTTATAAACATGAGCCACTATTAATTGAACCACCAATATATTTGATTGAATCCTGCATTAAAATAGTCTAAAGGTGAATTTATTAATGATACATTCCATTAATCTATTAAAATACAATGATATATAAATATATATTTTGTGTAACATTCAATTGTTATAAATCCCACTTATTCTTAAGCAACTGGGTCAGTCATATAGATAGTGATATTTGTTCCTTATATTTGTGCTAGAAATACGACTACTAAGATTCGATAAGTTAACTCTTCATCCATAGAAAAATATATTTTAGACTATTGTTTAGTCTTCTCCCTTATTTGATATCTTTTTGTTTAGATGACTTCTTTGCAGAGCAACATTCAAACATGTACTGTACCCCATGCTTACTAATACAGTAGTACAGGCCATATTTTGAGATTAAGTATTTCAAACTGATCTGCAAAATCTTATCTAGAAGAATAGAGAATTAGTGCAACACAGTGTTAATGCCTACCATACAATATAGAGAGCAGCCCTACAAACAGTAAACAAATGTTTTGTAATTGGAACAAGTTAGATCTGCTCAAAGAACAGTTACTAGCACGATTCAAGCATTTCATGTTGCAATGAAACAAAACTTCAGAATTTTTTTTGTGTTATGCCTTAAGAGAATAGCAGATTTAAACAAGGAATAACCACAAAATTAGGT